CTCCCCTTTCCCCCCCCCCCCCCCCACCTTCGCCCCCTTCATCCCCTTTCACCCCCCTCCCCCCTTGATTCGGTTCAGCGCGGCTATTCTTTGGACCTTCAAATTTTGCGAAATTCGTCTTGACTGTTGGTGGGCATGAAAAATCTGATGAACTTTGAAATTTAATGAAGAACTCCCTTGGGATAATAAAAAAAAACTTTTAAAGCAATATTTTTCCGTTTCTGGAGAATTTATTTGAGGGCAAATCGCTTGGAGTAAGCAAAAAGGTGCATGCCTTGTTTGGTCCTTGGATATGGCATTTCGATGCCATTGCGAATTTCGCGAAAATTATTACCTTGCGGTCGAATTGGTACCTACAGATACCTTTAGGTACCTATTGCATGCGTGCGGCAGTGATGAAAGAGATCGTACAGTGTTGTTCAATACAGCTCAGTTCAGTTAAGTACAGTTGGAGTATGGACACGGTTTAGAGTGAACCACGGAAGCCCGCGAAAATAATAGGTAAAAACCGAACCTAGGAGGAAATGTTGATGGTAGACTTGTTGAGGTTTGTGGTTTTAGTCTTTCAGCCTTTCCCCCAAAGCTGAAACTGGTGTAGATGTGTGAAACCGCATTGCGACAGAGAACCCCCCCCCCCCCCCTCCGCCCCCTTCCGCGTTTTGCAATCTCTTGTTTTATGGCAGACGAGAAGTATTTTTTTCTGCCTTCATTTCTTCCGGAGGGATGCATATGCGTGTTCATCTGATTACCTTGACGGAATGGACTGGCCATGTGTCCTTGAGAGAGTCGTGGGGTAAATATTTTTTTTTTTTACAACAAAGGGAATTTTGTATGATAGAGACATCGATGGTCCGACATCGGCTGGCTATCGAACTTCTTTGTTTAAGCTTAAAAAATGTAATGAACCTTGATAATCATACTAGGGTTCGTTCGAACTTATGACGTGATACATTGCATAAGAATGCATCGATCAGGCAGGGGACGACACGTGAACCTTACTTATTTTTTGGTAGTTTCCATTCCGGATGGGCAAAATCGCACATTCTGCCTAATGATCCGAATAAATCGTGAGCAGGGAATGGCCTGTTAGCCTTCCCCACGCCTCCACGCGCAGCCCCGTGAGAGCGAAGGACACTACGGACCACGGGGTCGAATGCCTCCATCGCGGGAGAAGAAGCCACGGGATATGGGGGGTTTTTCCTCCGCCTCCAAAAAAAAGGGAGGCATTGGCCCCAACCGGAATGCCCCCTGGGGATTCTAAGGGATTCTCTAGAAGGAATGGAAAAAGAAGAAGAAAAAAAGTGTTGACCTTGTCGTGGAACAGAGAGAGGGGGGAGAAGGGGAGGGGGAGGAGATTTTTTCAAGGTCGGCCTACCATAATAACGACGCAGCCTCTCTTTCCGACTCACTCCTCTCCTCTCCTCGCTCTCGACTCACTTCCTCATCCTCGTTTGCGAATGCGCCTCGGTCTCACCTGTGAACCGTTTGTGTCATTTGTGACGTCCGTGATGGTGTGCTTTGGATATCGTGTCTCGCCTCGAATCGAATCGAATCGCAGATGGGTGGAGCTCGATGGTGTTGTTTTTTGGACACTGATCGATTTGTCGTAGGCCATCTTTGAAGGCACGCGGGGATGAAATACTGACATCATTGTGAATGAGCCTTTGTCGAGTTTTTCTAGAGTTCTAACGTTCGTGTGGGACAGTAGCCAGTGTATCGTAACTGCATGTGCAGAGGGAAATCATTCCGTGCCGATCGTGTCGGGAATTCCCGTTTTCAAGTTTGTGAGCTGTCGCAGTTTGCAAAACGTCAGTTGACGAGTCTTCCCACGTATCGACCACGCTCGCATTCCTTGGACATGACGGGTTGCGTTTCCCTTGGGCATGAGTCCGGAGGGGAGAGTGTTGCTTATCCCTTGCGCACAAGTCCGGGAAGGGGGGGGGGGGGGGGCCTTTTTCCTTGTGCACGAGTCCGGGAGGGGGGGGGGGGGGGGGGGGGGGGGGGGGTGCCTTTTTCCTTGTGCACGAGTCCGGGAAGGATTTAGAAGAGGAAGTGAGCTGCGAGGGTGGGGATTGGTGGATAGAACAAAACATGCGACCTTGGTTAGTTCCTTCCACCCTTGAAGCGGAACTGCCATGGGCATAATTCCGGCCCCCGGTTTTATTCTTATGGTGACCCCACGTCACGTGACGTCACACCTCAGGAAATCCCTGATGAGTCTGGAACCCTTTTATTTATTTTTTTTCGTGATTGCAGATGACCGTGTCGAAATGGTGAGCGGGGAAATTTTCGCGATAATATATATGATTTTGGAAATGTCCGTTCAATACGTGAGCTTTCCACGTTGACCTCGTTCTCTGATTATTACCTATACAAAGGTATTAATTTTGGGACTTATTCGAAAATGGGTTGGTATAGATACGGCATCGCGAAAATTATTTCCCGCGTAATTTCTACGACCTGAATCTAGAATGCAGTGTGTGGGATTCCCCATGGAATCCTCTCCGGATTTTCTTTCTTTTTTAGTCCGTCCCCTCCAGTCACTGACCTTTTCATCCTTTAAGAAAGAAAAAAGACCTCGTTCCTCGAAGTACCGCGATTAGATTCCCCCAAGCCGATCCCAGGGTCAGACAGTCAAAATAGAGGCGGCGGCCTTGACATGCAAATCGATCCAGTTGACGCGGAAGATTGCATCACCGAAAATAACGCAGCATCTACCGGTCTGACATCATGCAATCCACGGTATGATATAAACGAGTTCCATGAACCGCTCTTGAACTGGTCCTTCTTCAAGGTCTTCCCCCGAAGAGCCCAAGTGGGGATGATTGCTCCATACCCAGCCCCTTACGGATAGGCGAGAGACACCCTCTTTCGTAAGAACAAACTGATTTCTCTTTTCAAGGCACTTCCTGGTCCTTGGCTTTCGGGGCCATCCAGACCCTAGACCCGGTCTAACCAGAGCCTCTATCCATTCCCGCCTCTTGGCCTTCCCTTCTTCAGTTATATCCCTACTCTTCCGGTGCCGCGTTCAGTTTTCGTCTGTGCTCGGCACGCTCGGCGTTCGAGATTTTTTTGTTGCCCTATTGGACCCTGGGAAGTGAGATTTTCCATTTTCGGTGAGCTCTCTTTCGAAAAGAGGGTCATAATTGTTGCACCGCCCCACCTGGCAATTAAGTGACCGCTTTCGTAAGTGCTGGCTCCCCTCTTCTTTTTTTCCCTCTTTTTTTTCACTTCCTAGTAACTGTTTAACGGTTCATCAGGAAAAAAGTACATGAATGGCAGTGGTGACAGCGACAAAAGGTAAGATCTTGAGGAATTTCAAGGAAAAACTCGTAAATTGTATATTAAATGTGAAATATGCGATGGCGAGACCCTACCCTAGCCCTCCAGACCCTCAGTCTCTGTGCGCATCCTTCTGTCATAAATAAAGCTCATCTCGCATGCGAAAATATCTTACTTGGCTGGACCGCCCGAGGTGGGCGAGCAATGGCTCACTCTATGACTCTCATCACTTTTACCGTATCCTTAGCTAGGCCTAAATATAAATTATTCTTCTAGAAGTAATTCGTGTCAAGAGGTTAGCAGTCCAAGTATTTGAAAATTTTCGTTTTCTGTTTTTTCGTGTGCAGTTGCGTGATCGTGTACGCCAGTCATGAAGGGCTGGTTTGATGCATTTCGGACAAATGGCGGTCCCACGTTATACAGTTACAGTAACCGGACCCCCGTCACGGGGGATCCCATCACCATCACTCTCTATGTCGTCTTCTTCACCATCTTCGCCGCCTTCCTCGTCATCTTCCCCGGCGTCCGCAAGGAGGTCTGCTTTCTTCCATTCCGGTTTCATTTCCTTATGTAATCAAGCGAATTGGACCTTCAATTAATGAACTTGCTCAATTTCCTTTAATTAAACTAATAGGTGCTTCCTGAATTTTTCTCTTCCCCTCCCGTATCTCTTTTCGCCAATTGCGATAAAAAAATAAAGCAGGTATATAAGACAATAGATTTGCTTGTTGTGTGACCCTCATGCGTATGCGTATATATTGGGCGAATGACGTGATTCAATCAATTCGATGCTGTGCATTCAATGAATTTCAGCATTGGAAATCTCCGTTTTTAAATCTGATTTAAAAAAGTGAAAACTACAACTGAAGGCCGATGAAGCACGTGATACCGACACTTATCTCAAGGAAACTTCTTTCGTTGGGTGCAAGCGAAAATCTCTTCCTCATCTTAGTGAGTGAAAGCAATCTTTTTCAAGCAATAGTGACCTTCGACAAACCATACCGTGCTGTGAATGTTTTGTGATGAAAGGCACTTTCGACTTTATGACTAACTTCATGACCCATAGTTGCAGTGCCGTCTGCAAAAGCACGACCCCGGTCTGGCATTTTCCATGTACGTGTACCTCAATTTTTCTCCTGACCTCGAATTAAACGAGGAGCAATCTCTCGCCAGGCCTCGAGTCAAACTAGGAGCGAGGGTGTACCCCAATTTCACGTCGTTCATTTCGATGGTCATTCGGTTCGGTGCGTATTCGGTAATTCTATCTCGTAGTTGCAGTATCCCTGCTTTGAGTGACGCGTCGTCCTTGAGCTTGTAGTACTTGTGCAATGCAGGCTGGTTCGCATGTTGGATCTTTTACCACGCTCCGTGGATAAAATTGCATGGAAATGGAATCTTGTTCTGCCTCATGCCAGACCTTCGGAAAAGTTTGAAATTCCACACATGATGTACTGTACAGTCAGAAAGCACTGTGACCGAAACTCTCTTTTTGATTCCTCCGATTTCAAATTGAGGCTGATCGGTGTTACGCAATATGAATAACTTGAAAGTAATCCGGACTGTCTTACCTGGATTACAACAGTTGTTGAAAGTAACCACCGTCCATGATTAAGCAGTGACTTAAGCATGCCTCGAAGGCATGAACCACATGAGAAGTCTGTGTTGGAATCTGCGCACATGTTGACATTATCCGGTACTTAGTACTAAGTAATCCAGAAATCCTTAAAAAAAAAAACTTAAATGCTATCATTTCCCCTAGCTGCTTGACATATTGACCCTCGAAGCCCTGTAAAACTCAAGCTCACTAATGTCTGTCGGCCGACTTGAGTTTGAAACCAGTTCAGGGCTATGCTAAATTTATTTTGTCTGAATAGTGCGAGCTTTTTTTTTCGAACTGAATCCTGAGATTAAGTGCACTTCCCTGTTATGACTATCCCCGTTCGATAATGTTTTCCTCATTCCATTGTCTTACCCTTTTCCACGTGACGGGCTCCTATGTCCTTGCCAGGCTTCCTCATCCGTAATAGAATCATAGTCGCGCTGTCGCCCTGGAAAAAAAAAACCAACAAAAAAACCATGGGTTTTCCCCTTCGCGACTTTTGCAACAGCCTTGGATTATCGAGGACAGTACTCATGACTTTTCCCGTATCTCACCTGACCTTGATTGTCTGAGTCAGCATTTTGACTCAAACCCAACTCGGGAAGTGTCAGAACTGAACTTTGAAGTAGAAACTACTCGTGGCAGTCGCGGCGTCCCTTCTGACGTGTTTTTACCTGCACGGCTCATCGGTTTCAAGGCTTTCTTCCGGGAATTCTCAACTGTGTCCACTATGCTTTTGTTATCCTCGGTCACGTGAGGCCCGTCGCGTATACTGCAAGCCATCGGTCCGAGGCCTCCTTCGATATTACCGAACGGTCTTAGGAAATTTTGATTTATTAAAAAGTATCAGCCCGTTTGCTCGAGCCTTTTGACAAATGAGAAGTGGAGAGATCTTGGCACCCGGGTATCTTTTTCCCGAAGACGGAGTGGGAGAAAAAAAGAAGCAAATAATAATTTGTCAGTAGAGGTGAGGGCAGCGGGTGAAGGCTGCCTCGAGTTCTCGGCAGATGCTGCAACATGGCCATCCCTGGGTGTAAACAATGAAAACACACTTCATTTGAATCCATTCATCACTCATAAAAAGGCTTTCGTGGGAAATAGGGATGCCGATGGCATGACTCATGACGGTGGGAACTTTCGTGGTGGAAAAATAAGATTGCCTAAAGTCAGTATTCTCGTTGTTTGAAGAAAACGAGAAAATATATCCTAAGACGTATTCTAAAATTCACTATATATATATATATATATATATTGGTTAATTTCATTATGTACCTACATCATGGGTTTGACTGTCATGACTCGATGATGTTTAGTTCACCTAAAATGACTATTACTTCTGCAGTTGTGTGTAGAATACAGAATGTGAGTTCGTATTTTAAATGTTAATTTAAATAGATGCATGCAAATAAGTAATTGAAAGGCTCTCAGGTATAATGAAAGGTTTCTCTGTCACCCTACCGAGGACATGAAAGACCTCTTTCTTTCTTCTCCTCCCTTTCACCTTTCTTCCCTTTCCTTTGACATTGTACAATACTGTTTTCACCTGGTATGCACGGAATGCGGTTGAAAGGAATGACTTTCTCCCTTGTTTTTCACAGCGATTCACGACATTCGTGAGCGTGACCCTGAGCCTGTTCGTGGGAACCGTGATTCTTGGTAAGACCCCCCTCTTTTCCCATTCCCCCTCATTTCTGAAATAGAGCGATTGAGGAAGAGGATTGTGTGGAGATTGGATCAAGGAAGAAGAGTCTTCTCTTCCTGATCTCTTTGGTCTTCCCATATTTTCACCCCCGGGGCATCAGCTGTGTCCCACTTTTGTTTTTTTTTTCTTTCCTTTTCCTTGCCGGCGGCAAGGACTTTTCTCTCACCTCTCTCTCTCTCTCTCTCTCTCTCACTCGTGTGCGAGTGAGAGAGTTCAACCTTTCCTTTTTCTTTCTTCCTTTCTCATTATACGCAATTACTCTTGGGGAAGAGAAAATATGCATGAGGCTCTTCCGGGTCGCCGCTTCTCGTCAGCCTTTCACAAAATTATAATGTCTTTCCCCCGATTGAAGAACGGAAGAAAGTCCCATTTTAATGATTCGGATATGGTTTTATTTTTCAGTGTGCAATTTCGGATGCGGTTGGCACGTGGGAAAAGCAACGATTTTGAGTTCCTACAAAGCCTTCTCGCCCATGAAGCTGGAGTCGGAATTGGGCGTTAATATTGGCCTCAACTCCGCCAACGTCACCCTTACTGGTATTATCTCATTTGCAACATATACATATTATTGCTTCATGTATTCGAGGAAATGACGAATTGATTCATTTTCAATGCACTGATGAGATTTTTCTGAAGACGATGTCACATCTACATTTATTACTGACGCTCGAATTGACTTGGTGCATTTTACGATATTATTACACTGTAATGGCACTCTAAATATGGAAATATAAAATAATGCTGACTTCCGTAGTTGGATTAGAATAGATACTGAAAGTGTCCACCGTTCACAATTAAGCAGTTCTTCGTGCTGTTATTTCCGTACCGTCACGAACTCCTGAAATGAGTGGGTGTCAGGTTTGTCCAACCTCACGCCTAGCATGTCATGCATGCCAGGCGTGAGAACCATGCCCAATGTTCTTCACCACGCCGCAACTGGTGACATGGTCATCACTGATCCTTAGTTCCATCAGCGAGATGCCATCAGTGCATGTTTGCACTCCATTTTTCTTCCACCTCGAGGGCATATGAGCGCAGGATATCTCATGCATCATGAAGGGGTCCTAATACCGGAAGACGTGCAATCATTCTCGGTTCGTGGGTTCCGGTTGGACCCCCCGATGTTCGTTCAATATCGAGGGTTTCAAGTTGACATCGCAAGTAAAGCGGAAATTACATGTTCCCCGCTTCATTACTGACGCAATTTATTTAGCATGAGACTTTGAATCCGTTTCTTGGAATAGGATTGATCGATTTTTTCGTGTATTTTCATCCGCAGTCATGATGTCTCCTACTCTTAATTGAAACCCGTTGTATCTTGCAAAACCTTTTCATCTTCCTTCTTACGACTTTCATGGTTTTTCAGCATGTACAGTTTTTTTTTTCCTTCGTACTAAGTGCCATATCTATTATTACCTTCATTTTTCTTCAGGTGAAAAATATATCTTTGTACCGTGAATGTAGCTATGCCGAAGTACAACGAAAGCGATCAGATCGACTTCAACGAGCGGTTCCACTGGACGAAGGCAGACGACATCAAGAGAGACTACCGGCGCGCCCTGCAGAAGGGTCTCCCCTACCCAATCCTCACCGTGGCCGAGTATTTCACTCTCGACTCCGAGGGATTTTGTTGGGGACGGAGATACCGCGAGGCCGGCTATTACGGCTGCATCCTCCTCTGGTCTGTGACCCTGTCGATTAAGCGTGTATACACGAGAAATTCCTCGTTGCCTTTCAATTAAGTGTCTCCCTCGAAGGAAAGCAAATGACCTGGTAATGATAGTTTCTTTCAAATATTTGCTCGATGCCTGGTAAAATACAGGAAGGAACAGGGGATAATGAAGACAATACTTAAATTATATATGAAGAAATGTAATAGATGTGTAAAAATAATTATGTTTTCCAATGGGAATATTTATGCATAATTTGATCTCAAAGTGCTCATCAGCATGAAATGTTCACCAGCCTTGAGGTACAGTTTGTTTCTGCAAGTCATTTAAACCTTTTGTAACCCACTTCTAGATTGCATGTATTTACTTTCAGCGCATTCCCCATTGTTTATCGTAATGGGCAGCGAGTATATACTTAGTGCACTTAAAACGGGAATGCTTTGTGCACTTAAACGGGAATGCTGAAAATGAATTGCAAACACTCTAAATCGTAGTAAAAGCAATTATTTGGAAAGATTCAATTATTACGCAAAGATATTAACGTCATGAATCGGTTTCTTTGTTGGGCACTCTACAGGGCGTCGTTTGCTACGTGGCTGTTGATGAACATCTTATTGTGCGTGGTGCCGCGATACGGAGCATATGCCATGATCTGGACGGGGAGCCTCATGCTCCTCACCAACTTCGTCTACTTCAAGCTCTTGCCACCTCGGCCGTTGATCATTCCCTTCGAAGGGGCCCTTCTCACCCTTCACCTTGGATGGTGCTTCTGGCTCGTCCTCATTGCAGGTCTCCTCTCTCATTTCACCGTCATTCATAAGTCAGGAGCTATTTCGTTGTTAATAGCATGGGAGGGGACCATAAACCTCTCCCTCGGAAATGTTGCAATTCCAAAATCGCCTTTAACTCTTCTTTAAAATTCTCACCCCTGCAATTAGCTTGTGTGAGCAAACTCAAAAAAAAGTAGCTAATATGCAAATTGTTCTCGACCCGCTTATTCCACCGATAACTGTAAAATAAGATTTCCATGTGAAGTATATCGATGTGACAGTCGGATCATTGTAACTGAATAAAAAGGAATATACCCAAGTCAGGCACTAGATGGTGCTAGAGGGGGGCGATACGCAAAAGTGCAGACTATTACACAGAGAATGAAAATAAAAAAAACCTTTTTGAATCCATGTATCACCGCTGTTGATGTATTCGCGAGACATGCGTTGTGCGTAGACCATGTTCCACATTACTTGCGAAAGTTGAATTTAAATTCGCTCAATCAAAGTGAGGCTCTGAGCGAAATTAGAAAATAGTAGTATTAGGAGTAGTAGAAAAGTGGAAAATTTTAAGTGGATGCTGAGTAAGTTCCTACTTCTTGAGAGTCACTTCATCTGGCGCCTCCTTCGAGGTAGACCAGGCAAAAATCGGAGACATTTTAAAGCAAACTCTCTTAATTGATATGCATTGAGCCATCAATCATTAGGGGGGGGAGGGGGGAAGACCTGACTTCATTCGGCGAAAGTTCAGCCAAAATAATTATCCTTAATGGAAGAGATGTTCCATGTGGCATCCATAATATGCTGCTACTTTGCTTGAAACTCACGTGCAGATTATTTGCACGTCCTTGGTTACAACGATTTCGTAGAGATTACAAATCTGCCCTACAGTATGTTTTGCCCTTGTTAATATGTCTCTCGCCGCGCCATGTCTTATGAGAATGAAAGTGAGCCCCTCCTCCATACGAATATACTGTTGTATCTCGAAAAGCCCTAAAAAAAAAGAACCATCCTCAATATGAAGATAATTAATTGAAGTATATATCTCCGTTACCTTACTTTAAGAGCTCCGGAAACCCAGACCTTCTGGAAATTGAGAAGCTAAAAAAAGGTTTTTGCCTGGAACTTCGGCGATTAAACCTGACAGAAAACGAAAGGGAAGGATGACTTATTGGTCCCCCTCCCTTTAAAAGAAAAAGAAACTGACCACTTTGTTCATCAATTTCTCACGTCTTCGAGGGGGTCTTCAGGAAAGCTAGTGGAACCAGTATTAACAGCACATGTTGACAATTGCGCCATTTTACGATTCATGAAATCTGTTGAATAAGCTTCGGGAGACGATTAGCCCATTGCTTAAAAAGTCTGACTTTTGAAGCTCCTACTACAGATGTATTTTTGTATGAAGAAGAGAAGTAAAAACGGGAACTCCCAACATGAGAGGCATAGGAAATCATGACAAAATTGTGGCTGTGAATTCCCCCAGTTCTTAATTTTCCATTCGAAAAATCCAGGAAAATTGCCATGCGGTATCCGCTATTTATCTCCGGAAGTTCAAAGGAGTCCGTAAATCAGTCTGTTCAGCCTTTCCTTTGTATATCCCCATTGAAAAAAAGCCATTGTTTTGACTGCTTACATCGACATATTTCCCATAATGTATTGTGTTTGTATAATCCCATGGCGAATGTCTTGGAATTTGAACTACCAGTGAACTTTCATCCCCCCGGAGCGAGATGTCGTAAGTTTTAACATTGCTGTTGTTATCTAAAGTTTTAAATGAAAATCTTCCATTGGGTTGCAAGTTCATGACCCAAGTCATCCTCTTCCGATAGCTCAGTGGGGGGGGGGGGGGGATGAATTTCTTAATTTCCCTTTAAAAATTGAGGAACTTCCAGATAGTGTGATAAGTTGGAAATTCCTATTATCCTGTTCAGGTGATTAAGTTACCAAAAAAACTTCCAAAATTTTAGAAACCCATGATTTAAACTGTTCAATTTTCGAGACACCCTATCATCAGTGTCATTTTCATTGCATTGAGATGGAATTTAATATAGGAAGCATCTGTGCGGGGGTGGGAGCGACGATCGCGATAATCGATTGGATCATCCCACACAAGTTCTCCACGATCCTGGAGGTGGATTACGGGACTCCTTACGATCGACACACCATCATCGAAGACCAGAAGGACACGCGACAGAAGTTCAAATTTAACATCCCCAAGCTGGAAGAACCCCTTCAGGAAGTCGGCTCCAGGATCCTCAGGTGAGAGAGAGGCGACTTTTGCTGTTTTCCTTCCTTCGTGGCTTTGCCGCTTTACGAAGGATCTCACTCCCGGCATACAATAGACATTCTCTAAAATTTCGCTTTGGTTTTCTACGTCATGCAATTTCCAATATCCTTCCTTCAGGCGTTTGTCGACGCGATTGTCGCGTCGAGGAACCGGGAACGCCGAGTTGGAAGCTGAATTGTCACGCCGGGCCGATTTGCAGAGATACTCCAGTCGACTGGGCGTTGACAACGCCGCATTTTACCCTACTCCCCCGCCTCTTCCCTTGGAGGCGACGCTGAGCAATACGGGGAAGAGTTCCAAGGCAGTCTCGTTTCGGTCGGAGTCCAGGGAGCGACCTCCCATTGAAGTCAGGACTTCTTCCACCTTTCAGCCGGATGACTCGGACCACTCTGAGTATGAGTCCTTCCACATCATTCTTACCCGTTGACTGCATGCACTTTATTGAAAGAGTGCTAAAAACAGTGAAAGTTTACTATTCCCAGCATGAAACCTATGCTTAATATCCAACTTTATTTTGAGTAATTGCTCATAGCGTCGCTTTGGAATAATGAATTTTAAAGAATTTTCACAATTCTGATGTAAACGTATCAGCCTATGCACAGTGGAAGTTTTGTGAAAGTAGCAGAAGGTAGAGCTTACGATTTTGGTTCAGTTCAAAGTCAAGGGTCTTTTTTTGCCATACCCTATATATGCACTGCTGGTTCTCATATTGGTGTTGAGTAACTGAAAACAATTTATAGTTTTTTTTTTAATTCAAAGAAGACTAATAATAATTGATATGATTGAGAAGATGTCGAAAGTTATTACGCTGACGCTTTAACATGGGATTTGGTGTAATGGTGATGACGTGCATATCGGAATATTGCCCGCGCACTAATTAATTAAGATGTTGCAAGCTTCGTTCCTACTGCCGAGGTAGTTCTCAAGCGTGTAAAGGGAGCTTCATGCAGATCAGTTTCTTAACAGTAATAAGTTTAGCAATATGTATTGCTATGGCAAACTGCTAACAATTGGTGTCGTTCACACGTAAAACTGAGGTTCAAGAAATTGCAATCAATCGTCACATGGCGGCTTACCTTGGAGATTGCTTTGGAAGCGGACTCAGCTTGTCTCCCAGACTTACCAGCTGCTGGTTGATGCATCTCAATTCCCTTAAAATTGACTGCAATTTAGAGGTAACAAGCTGGGTTAATTTGTCGCAATTAGAGAGGGAAAACTTGAGAAATTCTGGCATTCTCCCATATTTTCTACTCCCAGCCCTCCCACGGTTTTTTTTTTCTCCAGAATTTTGGTCCTGCTTCCTCAGTTTTCGAACTTCCACCGTCATATTCCCACAGCTCCCGCATAGATTCCTCTCTTTTTTTTTCTATATTTTTTAGTTCTCCCGATCGCTCCCTATGACATTCCCTCCCGCTCCCACGGGTTTCGCAATGTCTCGATGGAGTTAGTTAATCAAGCATTCAGCAAAGTGAAATATGATGACGCTGAGCTCACAAAATATTCACATGAATACGCATCACTGACGTGTATGAGGTCCTAATTGTTATTTTTTGAATGGAATAACTCTGAATGTGGAATTCGTTTTGCGATCAGATCGGATGTGAAGGAAAGAGTGGAAGTCGTCCGAGTGCCGAGTATCCATTTGCGAGTGCCAGATCACTTGGAGATGATGCCGAGCATCTCTCTACCAAAGCCTGCTCTGAAGAACACCACTTCCACTGCTTCTAGGGTCTCCCATTCTCAGGTGAGTATTTTTTTATTATCGCAATATCCCCTGTTTTCCGACTTTACAAGCCATGATGAGGAGTTGCTTCAGGTCTTGTCTTCGAAACGCGCTGGCAGGAGAAAGAAACACGCACATTTTTTCCTCATTAGTTTCCGCTTTCAATAATGTTTCAAGAGAACTCCGCATGTAAGGCACGTCAGTCTGAGACCTGGTCCAGTTTTTTTTCCACGAGCAAGGCATCAAAGGCTAAATTTTCCCAAGGAAGGGGGGGGGGGGGGGAAGAGGTTCAGGAGAAGTTGATACGGAGAAATGAGGCCTTCCTTCATGGAGCGGACTTACAGAAATCGATCACAAACATGGCAGAAGGTAATGATTGATGTCATTCCTCCTCAGGAATGTAGGCTACTCGACATCTCTTGTTTCCAGTGAATCTCGTTTCCGAAGTATCCATCATGCATTCCTCCAGAGGGTACCCGTACCATCTTCCATTTGTCAGGAACTGCCTAAACAAAAAACATCACGTCAAATGCCTTGCCAACGCAAAATAAAACATCTCCGTTTTCACCTGCGGCCTCGGCGCATCAGGTTGCTGATTGAAGTGCGTCAAATTTTGCATTGATGGAAAAAAGTAAATGCGTCTGATGATGTAAGTTTCAGGAGATACGCGGGAGGGAAGAAGTGTTGCATGACTTGTTCACGCTAGTAAAGAACCTTGAGCATAACATTTTTTGGGATGTGGGCATCATGGTTGTTACAAGTTCGGAACTGAATTTTTTTTCCTCTATTAAGATTAAGCAACGCAAGTGATTCATACATGTTTGTGTGAGGGAGGCTGGGGATTTTTTTTTTAGTGTTACTAATATTCTAGTCATTAGAAATAATTGGATGACGTCACACGCTGGGGTGGAAATCATGACAAAGCTTTTGGAAAGGCATTTTAGTGGAACGTTGGTGGGAAATTGGGGGCGAATCGTCCGTGTAATGCAGAAATTCCGCTAATTTTTCAAAGACTGCCTCTTAGCTAAGAGTCATGAATCGATGAAAGTCTGGGGGATGTTGGACTTATTCGATAATTACTTATGATCTTTTCGTGGATATTTCACCGTGAGAAATAGTCCTTCGATGCCTTAGTCATAAAGTTGGCGCATAAGGCACTGCTTGTAGGGTTCAAGACGATGGATTACTTTGTCTTTGTCCGAGAATTCAGGCTCATGGCTGTGACAGAATATATCAGCCGAAACGTTTCATTTTCCCGTTTTTCAACTGCTCTTGCAGTAGCTCTGAAAGTAAGTCGCACGTTACAGTCAATGCTTTCCTTGTGTTCCCCTTTTGTTTTTCTCTTTTCTGGAAAGAGGTGACAGGAGAAGAGAACATTTTTGAGGCTCCCATACCCGAATCGGAATCTGTAAGTGAATCGGCCAGAAGTGGACTTCCTCTTCTGAGCCAGCTTTCATTCTTTGAAAAAGAAATGAAAGACCTGAGGCAACTTATAAACCCCCCTGAATGTTAGTGGCAGCACAAACGGTCAAAGGTTGGAAGACTACTACAATCTTCAGCTTCACAAAACTCTTGCCAGAACTCACGGAACTGCTGTACTTCTACATCTATTTGATCCGGGATACATTTCATCCAATAGCAAAGCGTGAAAAATTGGGAAATTGACATGTGAAAATGAGGAGGATGGAGAGTGAATGGACGGATTTCAGGTCACTTCTCCGAAGACACTTCGACGGACGCTTCTTCTACGCCACATCGACTGGACGCTTCGATGAAAACCTTTCAAAGAAGCGTCCAGTCGAAGAAGTGTCTTTCGAAGAAGCGACCTGGAACCGAATGGACGTCTATCTGCTCCAGCCAGTAAACCAGCCTGCCGTCTCCAGGCGTCCTCTTCATTTCTAATCCTCCCCACCCCTGTTACTCGTATCTCTTTATTTTACCTGTATTATCTGTAACAGCTCTCACAAGTGAAGCTTTTACCAGGGAGGACTTCGCCCCGCTCGACTATTTATCTCTAATTTAAATTTTTTAACTTTTTTCTCAGGTCGCGATGGGAGGAGATGATTTAAGCCGTCCTTCGAGTAGGAAGGATTCCGAGCATTCCAATTCATCTTCTTCTTCGTCCACATTGGGACTGGCGGCCATTCTCACTGATGAAGACTCTTATCGAATCCACCCGATGCCTGATGACGCCTCCAACAATGTCCTAAGGTCTTTTCCTATAATAGTATTGTAATTATATAATATAATATATAATCTTATTATATTATATAATATTATTATATTATATGTGACTGTCTTTTCATGTTATACCTTTACTAAAGTTTATATTGTATTTATTGATACTGAGGTCCTGTACTGAAGAATGAATTCCTCGCAACGGTTTTCATATAAACGCAGAAAATAGTGGATAGATCCGAAATTCCTAGTGTGGCCCGAAGAGAACCTCGCCTGATAACGCATAAAGGGAACACTGCGCCCCCCCCCCCCCCC